AAGACTGTTCCAACAGACTAGAGCTGCTCCGTTAAAATACACATTCTCAAAGGAAACACATGTTAGGCATGCAGCAATCATAGAAGGATCAGTCCCAGCTCCAGTTATTTGCCTCACACAGCGATGAAAGTCAGAACCACGAACAGCAAGCCGGTTTTCGTCGAAATCGGGGCTGTATTGATCGCATCTTCATAGTACGTCAGTTGTTAGAGCACCGCCATGCTTACTGACGACCCATCAGTCGCGTTCTTCGACATCAAAGATGCCATCGAGTCGATGCATCGACGTGCCCTTCGGAACTATCCGTCCGATTAACATGTAAACGTTACAGGAGCGCGTAGTCCGGCAAGGTGAAGGTTTATGGCAAACTGTAACCGCCTTCAAGGTTGCCCGCTGTCGCCTTCCCATTCTAACTTTGCTATCGACGAAGCCATGGAAACTGCATTCACCAGACACTATTTGGAGCTGCTCCCAGGTCATCGACCTTTCGACTCCGAGTACGCCGACGATATTGCCCTCAACTCTGACAACTCACAAACGTGCCAAGCAGCACTGAATAAATAAGCACCAGTTGCCAATCGTTTTCGACTATGCTTCGCACATTCACAATGCAAAGTCCTTCACCAACATTGGAAGGTACCCAACCCTGCGCTGGCCCTTGTTGGTGATCAGCTAGAAGTTGTCCGGAAATTTAAGTATCTAGGCAACTATACCAGCGCATTTAGAATAGCGGATGAAATCACGAACCGCATAGCAAAAGCTCAAGTCGCTTTTGCCAATCTCCGCCACCTGCGACGCCGACACGACATCACTTGCACTCGGAGGGGCAGAGTTTACAACGCAACTGTGCGTTCGACAACCGTGTACAGTTGCGGAACCTGGCACATCAGATCGACAAACCCAAAGAGGTGTGCTACGTTCGACCATCGCCACCTCCGCAGTCTAGCTCGTATCCGTGGGAACACCACATGCGCAATGAGCGCGTTCCGCGTCTCATATTGGGTACAGGCGGAGCGAGTCGTCGACAAAGCTTCGATGCAAACGAACCCTTAGACTATCAATACATGCCACCGCATTCACTCTGGTCAGAAAATAAGGCCCCGTGAGGATAACCAACGAACATATACACACACAAATTACCAGTTAGACACCAGTGCCAAAACCGGATACTGCCCTCATGTAAACTATACTATGTGACATCACCGGTCCTATGCGAAGAAGAGCATACCGAAGCGCCACAGAAACATAAAAGTGCCACAATACGAGGAGTAGAGAGTGGAGTGAAAACAAACTAAACCAGACCGCGTGGAAACATGTATTCTGAAAGTGTTGGGCAAACCAGTGAAAAGAACATTTGGGAAACCTGTCGAAGGAGCTTCCATCCCAGTGTCCGGTAAAGTGGTGCATCATGACGAGGCCAAGAGAATATATCCATGCTACAAGCTCACGCCGTGAACCGAACCTCGTGAATCAGCAGTAAGTGCGTTGTACGCTCACTGCCTTCGCCGTGGAAGCGTTCCCACTCCACTTTACACTTGTCACACCAAATGGATGCTCTGAAGCACAAATGTAGCGCATTGGACTCGTTCTACTGCGAAATAACATCATTATACTTCGTCTGCATCCGTGTCCTAAAACGGTCTGTCAGTTCCGAGGCACATTATTCTTGTGGTGTCATTATCCTGACGTAGTGTTTCTCAGTAAGCAGGGCTCTTCCGTAACGATTCAAATAGGTTTGCAGATGGAATCTTCCGTACGGTGCGATCGCGTACTACGCTCAAATGATTACACTAAGTAGGTCGAGGCGATGTTATAGAAGAACGGCGCGAAATTAGTGCTCCGACTTTTGTTCTACACTAGGCAGCATCGGTTTGCTGATCGTTATGTGATCACTGCTGTTAACTGACAAAATAAAACGGTTCTCATCGCGCGTACCAACATCACGTAGCACAGACTGACTGTTAACGTGAGACCGTGTGCCAGCAGCCGCACGCGAGGACAAGAGCTGCATAGACCTGTGGTTGCTACTTGCATCATTGTACTGCGCTCAAGCTAGTAAGACCTGCTACTGTCGGTTGGTTTGCTGGCCCGGTTTCCACATGAATTAAAGCATCAACACAAGAACGCTCGCTGTGAGATCTGGGAAACGAATGCATTGCTATGCCGAGTCTAGCCACGATCAGTGATTGATAAATACTGCCTTCCGGAAAAGCATCTCAATTAGTGGCTTCCTGTAGAGAAGCAACTGTGAAGGACCGTTTCCAATTATTGACAAGCCCTGACTCCAGCTAATTCGTAATCGTACGTTGGCCGCTGTGAGATAAATCACATCGTAACGGATAAACCGCCAATGTGACCAGAAGCAGCGACAATTACGGCTTAAATGCTAAGGGACAGTTGCTTTCCGGTATTAAAGCCACCGCTCGATAAGCATAAGGAAAATCATGATGGCGGGACGCAGGCCTGTTGTGGAAGGGTTCCTCTCGTATAGAAATAGCGCACGACCGCGTAAGTTGGTCACACATATACTACGGTGACTTGTCGTTTCTCCAGAAATCGATTAATTGGCACATTATTTATCTGTGGGCTGCATGTATAGTCTGACAGTGGATGACCAATAAATTTTAGCTAGAGCGGAGTACAAGCCTCTGATTTCGTTAGACCTCTTTATCACCAGATCGCTGTGTTTGTCTGACTTTAGATCGATGATATCGCTGCAGGGCAATTTTTGTGAAATTTTACGTAGGGGGTAGTGATTACTCGATCGATGGAATGTGTGACCTGGATTCTAAGACTGACAAATGCAAACTCCTTAGTTTTCGGTGTCCTCCGACGAGGTGCTCACCGAGTCTTTGAAATGATCTATGATTGGGCCGTTTAGACTTACGGACCTACGTCTCTGGAGAGTGAACTTTGCTGCATAGATGTGCCAGTGTGACGACTACGCTCGTGTACGGTGAGGCTCAGTTGCGAAGGTATCAGGTGCTTTTAGTTTTACCACAATCGAGTAGGAAGCCATGTTCATTCCATGTGGCTCAAGGCTTTCAGAAACAACCAAGGATGCCTAACAGATTAGTTCCTTGAACTAGAAAAAGTGTCACACCATACGCCAGCAAACCAGGTTTACCACCTTCACTGAAGATTGACTGGATATGGTAACGGGCAGTAAAGCCGTCTTTCATGGGTCGGGAAAGCTAGGGACACGATCCACAACCGAGGTCGACGGGTCTTTATTTACGTTGGTTGGGGTGGAATTGCTTGCAAAGAAGAAAGCTGCTTAACTGGATTTCTGACCACTTTTTACACATAGCAAGCGCATGCCTGCTCTGAATGTCCATTTGAGACATCGTTAGCTTACGTGCGACTGGTGGTGGTTGCGAGGAATAAGTACTGCCTACCAGGACATCGGGGATGCCTGCCTGCAGCCATGATCTACGTGATAAGGTCGGTGATATGGTGGTGAAGGCGGGAAAGGGAAAGTGGTGCTGTCGAGGATTTTTAAAGAGACCTTTCATTGACAGTTTCCTGTTGAATGCATCCTTGATGCACCATATAGCGGATAGCCACGGAACTTCTGAAGCGCAAGGCCATTTGCTTATAACCCAGTTGGATGGCAAGGAATTTCGAAAAAGACGTTCTGCGCCATCCCAATTGCTGCCGACTGAGTTGCAATGGATAGCCCTGCTGATAGACAGAACAAATGTCGATTGCCACAAAGGAGCACAGTTGGCAAAATTTTGGACTGGTGTAACGAAGCAATCCAATGGCAGCTACTTTGCTAAGCAGATATAAACGGCTAATCGCCAAAATGGTCGGGGAACATGCTGAGGACTAATATAAGAGTCCAATTTACAGTTGTCACAGCATGGGATAGACGACCTCTGTTATCACGAAAATACAACCACTCCGGTCTGAGCAAACCTTAAAGGTTTGGCGAAAAATGCTATCCGAATGAGGTGCCCGAAGGAGCCAAACAGACGCATGAAGCAGAAGCTCTTGGGTTTACTCTTTAATAGAATGCCCGGATGCTACGGGGCAAAATTCAGTGCCTCCTGGCCTCTCCGTTGGGAGTTTGGAAGTAGCCACCATCTAGCACAAACCGAACAACCAGATGGTATGCTGGAGAGGTCGCAATGCTCAATTCCGAATAATTTTTCGCAAACAAGGTGGAATGCAAAGTATATGGTCTAGGTGGAAAAACTGTTGAAGACCACGAAACCTGGGAATACTCATTTTCTGCCTGTACCATTGAGCACAATGCACATGGAATGCGCCATACTGCTCAGGTCGGAAACAGGACTACGCTGGTGTAACGAAAGCTAAGAAAATGAGATGATCCAGAGTACGCTTAACACATCTATGGTTCGTGCACTACTACAACAGGAGGGCGGACTATAGGCTGTTTTGAATCCGCCAACTAGTCACCGGACAAAGGGGTGCACACGGAGCTGTGCCAAACTGAGTGCGAGGATTAGCCCGTCACTCAGCACGTTAACTATCACCTGGTCAGCTTGAGCGAGATGTTAAACCGCAAACCACAATATTCATACCCAAGGCCGATACCAAGTGGTGAAGTAAGCGCCAAGGAACAGCAGCGATCAATTGCGTCATATACGAATGAGCGCCCGTTGACGAACGGATGCTTGGTAGTTTTCAGCACAGCGGGAGTTGGTGCTTCAACGGCATATACGGTGCAGCATTGAACACCACAGCACCTGAAAAGGACTATCGCTACAAGCGCCAAGTGACCAGGAGAATGGCAGTTTACATCTGGGTAAACCATGTGGCCATCAACGTGAGACAAAAGCATCGACGAGCGATGAAGGTATTTAACGTTTTAGTAAAAGGTATCAAGTGGACAGTGTACGGACATGGACAGAAACGCAAGCTGCCGAACAGTTTAGAGAAATGCGGCTCCACAAAGGCTTGCAAAGTGGAATGCCATTGCGGGTAGCAAGCGCAGCAGCAGCGATCTTCATTTGGCGCCAGACGCTTTATTATTACCATCTGGAGCTTCGCATGTGAGAGCGCGGACCCCACTCTTCTCCGGGTATGAACGGGGCTGGGCATGGCCAGGGTTCAAAAGGTGGACGATAACCTGGATTCAGCTGCTCGTTCTGTGCCTGAATCAAGGCACGCGCCTGGGCCAAGTACTCGTCGTCACGCGACGGTGCATAGCGGGCATGGCCTGGCCCGGCGAACCTGTCAGGTTGGTGCATAAAACCAGGTTCAGGACCAGGCCCTAAGTCTTGCCAATCATAACCCCGGTAACTCATCATTCCGGGATAGTCATCTAAGACAGGTTGATAGGGCTCGGGTGGAAAACGGTAAGGTTCCATCGGAGGCGGATCTGTCGAAAGAAAAGAAAAAAGGAAGCTGAAAGCACGATTAAGTTACAAAAGGAGCAAATAGCCAATCACCTAGATCAACACAGAACTCTATGGCAGTAGTTATATGGTCAACTGTCGACTGATGAGGCTAAATAAGATACGAAGAATACGTCGGCACTGTATTGACGCGTCGCTGCCATGCGACAACCGAACGCGCGTGTGCTGTGTACTGCGAAGTCAGCTGCACCGACGTAGACTCAAACCGGTGGCCTCTGAACCACGAGGCACATGTGACCACTGGCCGATGCTTAGACAAGTGTGCAACATAGGAAGCATCCGTGCAAAGCGTTTCTAGTAATTCTAGCAGCCCAAGGCTGTAAAACGGAGAAGTGCCTTTTGAAGTGCAACAATGGTAGCAGTCAGTGAGGTCATTGAAGCTAAAGTCAAAACGTGATTTATACAGAAAGGACGCTTAAAATACGCTGATAGGATCGATGGGCCAAAGAAAATAAAAACATTGCGGATTAAAGACCGTTTTAGAACTATGTAGCACAGGTGCGGTTGCGCTTCTTAGCCATCATAAGGCTTACTAGCAGGTTTTGCAGTTAAGCGCGGTGAAACGAAATCAAGGAAAATGTAACCAGTCGTCTAAAGACGATATGCGTAATTCCCAGAAATCAACACTTAAAATTTTCAGTCTATTATGCTGTTTGTTTTCGTAGCGCAACAAAGGATACAGTACAGCCGAGGTTTGGCCGGTGTTCGAAAAGATCACACACCAGCTTTGATCACCTGTACGAATCCGCTTAAGTGCCGGCGACCTATCCAGCCCGTGCGCCTGATGGCTGTCGCATTGCAGCGAAGCCATCACCGTGTGCCAGCACACTGCTGACGTCTGCTATACCTGAGTAGCCCTGATTCCGGGAGCAGTTTGTCAACTTGTGGAGGTTCACCAAATTGCAGATGACAGCATAATTAATGCCAAGCTAAGCCGTAAGGAGCTAACGTACCGTAAAAGTACGGATCACTCATGGCCTGAGCGCGGCGCATTCGCCGCTTTTCACGTCGTCGAGCCCAATAAGAAGCAGATTTTCGTTGACGATGCGTCTTTGGTGGCTCTTCATCCGACCTTGACGTACCTGTCTGTCCGGCAGCTGCGCCCCCACGGCCTCCACGTCCCCTGCGTCTGCCGCGGCGACTTCGTCCTGAAAGTGGACGTAGATTTAGCGAATGTTGCAATGTGCCGCAAACAATAACAACAAGACGATAATAGGAAACCAGTGATGACATGTTTCTTACTGAATGGCGGCGGTGGCCCGAAATGTGCCTGTTCAGCTCTATTTTGCTCAATAAGTGCAGCGGCGTCTGCGGCTGCCTGTGCAGCTGCAGCAGCGGTTTCTCTTGCTCTCCTTAAAACTGCTAGCGCAGCGTTCGGTGGCCGGAAGCGCGGCATTTGCTTCAGTTGACCGCCCATAACAGCCGCATCACGAGGGTGAGCACGAGAAGCCAGGAAGCGGCGCCGCCCTCGCCTGCGCCTTTTCTTGATAGCCTCTTGTTTAATTTCCTCTGTAAGGAAGATGGACAATAGGGGTAATGTGAAACGGACAACACGAAATCGCAAAACCGATAGCAGTATTTAGTAGGTCTCGTTGAAAGCAGCGTGAATATCACGTATGGAACCGCGGTCACAAAAGTGACTGTTTAAACAGTGCATTTATGCGCACAATGCACCATCAGCAAGAGTGGGTGGGGTTTGCAAGATACTGGCTGGATATTTAAATACGGCTTTCGATTCTGAATAGTACAACCTCAAAAAGCTCAGGTTCACCTAATCACAATAAAATATTTGTGATTTAATACTGGGTCACCTAGCAGTCATGCTGTCGTCAGAGAGCAGAGGACAGGGTGTGATGAACACTGAGAAGGCATATTTGTACGTTCGAGTCGTGGTGAAATCGAAAAGTACGGCTATTGGACGGGATGAATTGCATCGAAACTAAAACCACTGGCCTTGTACGCGTTTACATGAAGTAGGAACAATGTTGCGAAAGCAATGGTAACGAAAAACAATCTATATGGCGAGAAAACGCCAGACGAGCACACGGGCCCAGACAAGAGGCTTGATAAGCCCGCCATTCCAGTTAAACGTGAGAAAGTCTGTAGTGCATCATCATCATCAACAACAGTACATCAGCCATTTGAACTGATGCTTCGCTGCCATACAACCATGAGGACCTACGAAATAAAGAAGGGGACTTACCTGAAAACCTTGATGCCCTAAGCAAACATTCAGGATCAATGCGCCTACACCTTGTAAAGACAACATACCGTCACAAACAGCTGGCTATCGTGAAAGATAAGGCGGCATCGGCGAGACAGCTTCCTTGCGGCATTTACTGCCACGCGTCATAATCAGCCATTACCCCACAGATAACTCAGCAACAAACATACTTTAAACAGGCAATCAGATTAGAAGACGGTAGCAGACGCGCCACTGGTGTCGGTTGCGAGCCATGTCCTGTAAAGTCTCGAGCCAAGCGCAAGGTGAGTCACGTGGACTCCAACTCGGAAGGCGAGACGGACCAACGGCACCCAGCATGGTCGTCAGTGACTTTATTTCCCGCTGCCAAGTCAAGTTCTGTCCACCTAGAGCCTTGCGCCGTCCTACATCTGGTAGTGCGGCACTTATCGTTGCGAAAGATCTCTGCGAAGTGAGGGCTTTCATTCCTCTCGATCAAATCATCGCATGGCCACCTCTCCTCTTCCTACATCTATATTCCCAGGGCGCAAACAACGCACGTCGCGGGAGTCAGTGGGCTAGCATGCGTAACACGTAGCCGAGTCATCGGAGCCTGGTGCGTGAAATAATAATACTGAGCGCTTCTTTTCCTGTGCTGTAATCAAGGTGTCGAGCACGCTCATCGCTCACACGGTGTTCCCACTAGATGTGAGCTAAATTGAGAAGGCACCGTTGGTCGAACGCAACTAGCCTCTTTATGAATGTTGATCAAAGGGGTCAGGTTTCACAACCGTACAGTAGGATCGAACGTACCGCTGCATTGTACACTCTACCCTGCAGGGCGAGTGACGTCGCGCCGGCGGCATACGTGACCAAAGGTAGCAAAAGCGCATCGAGCTTTTGCTATACGGTTCATGATTTCATCTTCGATCCCACGGGCGCTGATACAACTTTCCAGGTAGTTGAATTTCTGAATTCCTAGCTTATCCCCACCAAGGGTCAGCGAAGGAGGCGGTGCACGCCAATCTTGGAGGAACGCTTTGCACTTCGATGATGCAATATTAAATAATAAGTAATGTGTTAGCTGTACGCCGTATTGGCGCTTCGCTGCCAGCGCGACCACCACCAGTCGCGCGCGGGCTGAGTATACCACGAGGACGCCCACCCCTAGGTGGATTCGAACCGGTGACCTTATGGTTGCAAAGCAAACGTGCAGACCACTCGGCCACCGGTGCAAAACAAAGCCCGAGGCGGCTGACAGCCAGTGTCAATCTGCCCAGTGCCGCTTGGCACGTCTGGGAGCTGTCACAGATTAGGGCAATATCGTCAGCATATTCTGTCATGAAGTCGTTCTCCTGGGAGCAGATCCACACATTCTAAGTCGAGTCTTGTGAACGCGATTTTCATTACTTCGTCAATAATGAGGTTGAAGAGGAAAGCTGACAACGGGCGACATTGTCTCACCGCTGGAAATATTAAAAGGCGACGACAGCTTGACGTAAGCCCTCACTCTGTCGTTGACTGTGACATTCTCCAACAAGATCTCGACCGCCTCGCTGTATGGTCCGCTGAAGTCCACCTCCCGATCAACCCGGCAAAGTCCCTATTCATGAATCTCGGGAAGGCTGTTCACGACCAAACGTACAACCTAGACGGCCAACCACTGCATCCCACACCTTCCGTGAAAGACCTAGGTGTACTCTCACGCCGCGACTTGAAGTCGGTCGACAACACCAACAAACTGTATCGAAACGGACTGCGCATGCTCTGTGCGTTGAAGCGCAGCTTCTGCACTTGGTCTGAGGACGTCGCCACTCACCTCTTCTCTTCCATCGTCAGATCAATGCTAGAGTACGGCTCGCCTGCATATTGTCCGATCACTCGCGGCGAAGCGCAAAAGATCGAACGAGTACAACACATCGCCACCAAGTTGATCCCCAGCTTGAGAGGCTTATCGTATGAAAACCGGTGCATGAAACTTGGGCTCTACACCTTGTCATATCGCCGTGTTCGAGTGGATCTTATCATGACCTACCGTATTTTACATCTCGGTCACTTCCCCATGCCGAGGTCGTTACTCCACTTGCGAGTACCATGCACCACACGTGGGCACAGGTACAAACTCATGGTACCTGATCTGAAGAAAATCCCACACCCGTGTGTTTCGAGCGGAGGGTTGTGCACGCCTGGAACAGTCTGCCAGAACACGTCGTCGAGGCCGAATCTGTGCAGAAATTCAAATCTTTGTTGGATTTACACTTCGCTAACATACGTTTCCGAGAACGGTTGCCACTTGACAACGATATCACCCACTTGTGACTCACTGTGTAAACAAGCATTTTGTGTGCTACAAAATGAGTTGCAGAACCATCTTAGGATAACCACCGGACGTGTTTTTTTAATGTTTTTCATGATCATTCGATGGAGTTGTACAGAATTATTCTCTACTTGCCCCAAAATACAGTATTCAGAGCTACGCGCGCATAATGATCAGATAATATTTTACATATTTCTCAGGTACACATTTCCTGAGTACAGTCGCGAAGTGCACGTCTATCCACCGAATCAAATGCACCTTTGAAGTCGATGACAGCGGTGGGCCGCCAATATATGTGACGGTACTCTACCAACCGACGCAAACTGAAGATGTGGTCAATGCAGCCACGACCTCGACGAAACTCAGCTTGCTCTTCACGAATCTGGCTTTCACGGGTGCCAGTCTGTGAAGAATGACAGGCAAGCAATTTGGAGGCGATAGAGATCAGACTGATTCCTCTATGTTTGCTGTACTCCGATCGTGTGCCACCCTTGAAAAATGGGACTATGACGGAGCGGCTCCAGTCGGTTGGGACTGTTTCCTGCTCCCAGTTTCACCAGTAACTCACATAAATCATCCACAAGAGGTCTCCCGAATCTGTAGAGGCCTGGAAGTAGATAATCTGGTTCCGCGGCTTTATTTAAATTCAACAGCGTGATCTCACGTTCGACTTCTGAGCGAGAGGGTGGACCGAAAGGGACAGCCCAAGGAGCTCTACACATCGGTATAAAGGAGGCTAAGGATCGATCTCATTACGTCGTACCGAATACAGCAGTTTAGGCATTGTCCTCGACTAGTGTTTTCCGTTACGGATACATCGGTCACTAGAGGGCATGTCTATAAACTGGATATCACGAGTATGGATAACGTTCCTCCTAGTACTGTTTCGCTCGTCGTGTGGGACATTCCTGGAACTCGCTGCCTTGTTCCATTGTAATCGAGGAGTCTTTTCAGTTTTAATTGATTCGACTAGCATCCTTCAATTTTCAATTCCAATTTGGACCGGAGCGGTAGGAAAATTCACATGTGTTCCTTCTATAATGCGTCGTTGAACCAGGATGGAGTTCGTGGGAGCGATTTGAAACCGAGAAGAGCCAAATCAACACACACGGATCACATAACGGTCAACCAATCAATGCCCACGCGGCCTACACTAGCAGTCCGCGCTGTACCGGCCACGTGAATAGAGAAGGGAATCAATAAAAAAATGATACAGGAGAGAATGTGGATAAGGTAATAATAGTAATAGATGTAAGAAGCCAAAGAAGTGGATGTAGAAGAACCAAACGAAAAGGTCTGAAACTGTAACCCAAGGTCGTCGAGTCGATGTTTAAGCTTCTTCACCGTTAGTGCCAATACTAATTCGCTGGGTAGCGCGTTCCATGAGTCGACGACCCTGCGTGATAAACGAAAATCAGCTGCAACGTGATCAGATCTGGGCTTATGCAGCTTTAGAGGGTGACCACGAAGAGATGGTAGCTGAGCCGGATGGAACAGTCCAGTTAAATCAGGCCCGTTTTGCCAGTCAATATACGGTACGTAACAATCAGGTCTCACAAAGGCGCCTATAGTGCATCGAAAACATCTGCAACCTGAGCAGCCTAGCAGGATACGAGAAATGCCTCAATTCTGGTACCATTTTAGTACCAACCCTCAGAACTCGATCGAGTGTCATCTTGTCGCGTACCAAGCATGGAGGACAGGAATGCACGCAGTACTCTAAGTATGGCCTGACAAAGGCTGAGAACCGACGGCATTCGGAAACCCTTGAGGGTAGCATTTGTCCAGTTCTCGCGGGATTTGAAGTCAGACTATAGCGAGACACCCAAGTCGGTTTGTTCAGTCACTTGACGCACTACATTTCCGCCAAGTACGTAAGGAGCTGTGAAAGTGCTTGATCCTATGCGCAGGACCGAACACTTTGCAAGATTGACTGGCAGCTGCCACAATTCTGACCACTCCCAAAGCTTGTCGAGAGCTATCTGCAAAGCCGCGGGTCTAACAGAACCGCTCACTGTATTACAAAATTTTAAATCATCCGCAAACATTAGGGATGGTACCTTAAGCATCTCAGGAAGGTCATTGACATACAATGCAAACAGTAGAGGTCCGTGGACAGATCCCTGAGGAACACCACTCAGGACGGCTTGTCTAAAGACAGCCCGGAACCCACTTGAACGCTCATCTGCCTTCCCTCCAAGAAAGCCGAAATCGACTTCGATGCTAGGCCTGAGACGCCGTAGGATTCTAGTTTAAACAGAAGACGGCAACGCGGTATGGTGTCAAAGGCTTTAGAAAAGTCCACCGCCTGTCCTTGATCCACAGCCTCAGCCCAGCACTCTCGAGCTACCAACAAGTTAGTCACAGGAGTGGCCTCTGCGGAACCCATGTTGAGACGGGTTGAGCAAACCGTACTTATCTACGTGCTTCTCCAGAGAATCTCTCGCCAGCTTCTCTAATACTTTCACTGGTACACTTGTTAGGCTAACCGGTCTATAATTTTCAGGTAAGTGCTTATCACCCTTTTCGGAAACAGGGCACACGATAGCATCTCTCCAGTCAGCAGGTATGGAGCAGCTACGAAGAGACTTCTCGAAGATACATTTAATGGGTTTACACAGCAATCCAGCCAGCTAGTACGAAAAGTTCGGGATGAAGGACATCTATCCCGGCAGCTTTAGTGGGATTCAGGTCACGCAGGAGCTTGAGTACCTGAGATTCCGAGATGGAAAGGTTCATCAGGAAGGAATCTACTGGTATCTTTGCCTGCAATTTGATATCAGGCAACGGAGATTCATGAACAAACAACCTAGCATACCGTTCCGCAAGTAAGCAGGCCTTGGCCTGATCGGTTGATACTTTAGTGCTGTCAGGTCCAAATACTACCGGGATAGGCGAATTTGCATTGCATCTCCGTTTGATATAGCCAAAGAACCGTATCGGGTTTGTTGATGTGGATCAAGCCAGCGCTAGTTCATATCTCAAGCATGCGTTTCGACGCAGGTGTCATGCTCGACCTGTCATCACGTGGATATACCAAAGCGGCACTTGGTCTTGAATCACCAAAATAATTAAATCCAAATGTTTTCTCAATCCGCATTTCCTGTGACGAACTAAACGACAAAAAGCGGTTTTACACACATTAGCTCACATTGGTAAATACGGTTTTGTTTTAGCAATGATAATATTACATAGATTGTGATTATATTCTCCTAATAACGTGATTATGATTACAGCGGCCAAATTAGCGAAAAGATTGCATGGCTAGCGATTGCAACCTGTGAAAAAGTGGGTAATCCTAACGAATCCACAGTTTCAAAGTACAATAATACAGAAAAGAGTTAATCCCTGCAGCAAGCTACCAAACCAGACCGTCAAATTCATCAGAAATTTAATGAAAGATGAGAAATGAAAAGAAGCAAAGATAGCGACATACCTAGCGACATTGCAGAAGGCAGCGGAAGCGATGCAGGTAGTAATGGCGGGTAGCGCGTTTAAACAGAGTTGCTTAACTAGTAATTTATTATCAAAGCGCCGCAACTTGTCCCTTAAAATACAAAGCGAAATATATTAGGTATGCTAACTACACAGGATAAAAGACAAGAACTTTATTGTTGTTTTTTGACTCGGTAACTCGAATTATTGGCAAGCCATACCAACCGGATTTTTGATTGGAGTACCATAGAAAACAATGTTGGAATAAACGCTTGAAAGAAAAGGTGGCTCTTGCTCTATTGCGCTTAATGATTTCATTGAGTTGTAGATAGCAGGAGGGAAATCTCTTGTCAGCAACTTGAATTCCGTATCACATTGGCGTTAGGACATTTCTCTAGGGCTCGTCGCAATTGTGATGACAGCCGCAAGATTCTAGCATTCTCAGCGAATTTCGTCTAGCAGCTGCTTGAAACTTTTTTCGGATAGCGATTCTGCAATTTCTTCCGGTAGCCGCCCCAAACATTTACCACTCTAATAGATAGGATAACATCCACAGGGCTCGGTCCTTGGACCGATGCTGTTCTCCATCTACGTAAACGATCTCCCTGGAGAGCTTGGGGTATCATCCTTATTGTTTGCTGATGACCTTAAGCTATGGAATCTTGTAAACGTTCCTGGGGGTTCCGAGGCCACGCAGCATGCCCTGGACAGACTCTGGGACTGGTCTACTTTGTGGCTACTGCCCATAAATTAGGCTAAGTGTTCTGTCCTTCGTATAGGAGCAACTTTCCCGCCTTCGAGCTACGTACTCGGTGGGATCGAACTCCCCCTTGTCTCCAACCAGATAGATCTAGGTGTCGTTCATTCCTCGGCTTTGCATTCTGGTGACAACTGGAAGAAGGCCGCTAGTAGGGGTTTCAGAATGTTATGGTTAATACGCCGTTCTTTCGGGGTCTTAACTGCCGACATATTTGTGAAGCTATTCTCAGCTTTCGTTCGGCCCCATCTGGAATACTGCGTCCAGGCTTGCGCGCCCTGCCTTGTTCGGGACAAAATGGAGCTTGAAAGGGTTTTGAGAGTAGGTACCAAATTGGTCGAGGGGTTACGGGGGCAATCGTACCCCGAGCGTCTACTTAACTTGGGTATGTATTCAATGCACTACCGACGGCTTCGAGGAGACCTAATCCTTACTTACCGCATTTTAACAGGGAAGGTTGGGCCGGACTTGCGCTGGCTATTTAGCCCGGCTAGGTTGCCTTGTCTTCGCGGTCATCCCATGAAGCTACACAAGCCGCGTTCTGATCAGATCAGGGCGGAAACTCGGTTATCGCGTAGAGTTATCGAGCGCTGAAACTCGCTTCCAGAAAATGTAGTCAGTGAACCTACGGTTAAGGGCTTCGATCGTCAGTTAGACGCTCTTGGGTGGCAACATGAAACCTTTCACTTCTCCTGACCATATCCATCTTCAAACTTTCAGTTCTTATTCTGTCATTATCTTCACTCTTTGGTGTTATCCTTCATTTTAATGACTTTCATTCCCCTTCATCTTCCATTTACTTTCTACTTCTTTCTTACTTCACGTAACCTACACAGCGCGGACTGCTAGTGCAGGGAACGTGGGCAGTAGTTGGTTGATCAGGGTGTGTTACGGGTGTTTCGGTTTAGATCTATCAAGAACTAACACCTTATCATTTCCTGGCTCAACGATTTGCTCAAGAAGGAACACTCAAGGGATTTTCCTATCGTTCCAGTCCATCTGAATCTGAAGCCATGCGAGGTATGTACCCTGGTAGCACAATCGTACCAGTAAACGTAGCAAACTGGACATAAACTGGACTGATGTCCCGTTCACTTATTAATGCAGTTCTTGCAGCAAAATGCATTCCGTTTGACATTTGTTAATGAATAAATGGTTGGTATGCATTATAATTGCTATTAATTGACCATAACCCCAGTGGTTTAAATGCATCGGTAGGTCATTTTTTGCAGTTTCGGTTTCGTAACCTTGGTCGCTGATACTGCTTCGTTCTGCGCTATGGTCTAGCTTCCTTGAAACTGCGTTTCCGCAGGTGTACCTATCAGGTTTTTCGGTTAAACCTTGTTTGATGCGTAGGTGTTCCTTTTCAGCATGTCACTTCGACGAAGTTATCAATTAACTGCACAGTTTCCGTCTTGTAGCACCATTTGCCGTGCAGCGAAAAGAAAGATACCAGGATTCAGCTACGAAGAGGTGCTTCTGTTGTCAGAAGCTAAACGACAGAAGGGTAAGAGCATCTTTAACATATCTTAGATATTGCTTACACAGTTCAGGCACCTGCACACGTTATCAACCGCAGTGAAGATGACAGGGACCCCGTGCATCGCAATTGTCAATTGATGTATGTAGCTTCTTTGTCTTTCACATCCTATTTAAGTGCATTGCTTTACCCGTGAACGATTTCCTTGTAATTTACCCTATGCCACACAGTTACACACTTTAACTACTAACGTCTTTCTTTTTCAGCAATGATGGCTTTTCAAGGATACAGCGTTGTCAAACTCCTTGACTCCGAGGATTTAATAACTATTGTCAGTAACACCTGGCTTAGAGAAGGTTGGTACGCTCAAATACCTTCAGTGTGGGGTACGCACTACTATGCAGCGGTGAACAATGCGCCGGATGTCGATGTGGTCAGCACTGCCGTGTCCATAATCGTTAGCACGAGTAACTATTTCTCTTATATTAACCAACCCCGTTAGTTAGCTTCCAGCATGCCCGAGAAATGGAACGGCAATCTGAGCGCGGGATGCTACCATCGACAGACGATACAATTCCCATGGGCCTTCCAGCTAAGCGTGCAATGTGAGTACGGTGTTTTTTATTTCCTCTTAGACGCCGGCCCGTCCGTCCTAGCTCCGGTGACGAGGATGCTGCGCGTCCCAACAAACCCTAAAGGCCTTCTGCAGCAACCTACGCACGTGCGCCCTCCTCTCTGTTCATTGGCATTAGTCCATCACGTCCAGGGCCATCAACCAGCAACCGTAAGTATCGATTTCATACTGCCCCCATTAAACAGTAATCGCGCCCCCGGTTATTGCTAACGTCGCACCATGCGATCTGGATGGGCTGCAGGAACTGCAGGCCATAAAATGTAAGACGTCACAGACGTATTGCATTGCACTCAGCCTTATTTTTAGATGCGTTGTGTCTCATTCGATCAGAATTGGTCGGCCATCGCCGCATGTCCGAAGCGATGTTGCAAATGCTACAACGACAATCCCAAAGTGTTGCGCCGGGACTATCTCTGCCATTCATCTCTCTCAGTGAGCTAAAGAGATACGATGAACGGCTGAAGGACCCCGAGTTCAAAATCAGAGTCGTAAGTTCGTTTTATTATTTAACTACTTTAGGTCAACCATTTATGTGCTGTGCACGGTGATAATGTGCAACTCATCGTCCGTGGTACCATGGAGCGGCTGACAAGATCAGTTGCCGCGGAGATAAATTCCTCCGGCGCTACAGGTTCGTTTGCCTTCAGGCGAACAAATATGAACGGCCTTGTACAAGGTAGGTTGAAATGCAGTAATCCATAAAACTACCAAGGCATCATTCGGCAACGCATGGGTGATGCAGCCTCGGATGCTGACATTACACGGCACATCAAAACGTGCTTGCATTCTGCACGGCACAAAAGACAGCCGGTTGAGCAAACTAAAGTATGCAGTGCGAATGAGGTGAGTCCCCTGATTCCTTAGGCACATCTTTAGCCTCCTACATTGACACTCGCGGAAGCGGATTAACAATATTGACTATACCGCTTTCTGCTACTAACGTTCTTTGTATTGTACCCTTCATGTATATACAGCATTTCTATACCTCGGTTTTAATTTTCTTTCGCCTTGTGATGTCAGGTGCGCGGTAAGAGCGGTTTCCTTTTCTGACCAACAGCTTTGAGTCGCCGCCTAGGTGGGTTCCCAGGTCCAGCAACTACCGCAACAGGTACCGGGTGAACGCTAGGTCCGAGCCGTCTATATATTCGTTAGGCTCATAGTACGTTCAAGAGTGGTGTCCGTATTCGGATACCCAAGGGAGGCAATGACGGGATCTGGACCAGCCGGATTGTCACGCATAGTGGTGAATTTCTATTGGTCAACGCTAGCATGATCTTCATTGGTCCAACATAAACTGGACAGGAACCCTTTTTAGCCGTCTCACGGTCCAGTTTAGCCCAACGCTCTCATAGGAACGTTTAGGATGCTAAACTGGACAGGACCTGGACATGTGCCACCAGGGTATCTGCTTCGCTTAAATACTTTCCGCGTGTGACCGCTTGTGGTATGGTCAGTGTTTGGGACAGAAGTATTGGTGCAACTCAAGCACAAGTTCCCCTTTGGGGATGCGCTTTGTGTAGATGATTTCACCCGGCAACTTTTAAGCTCCAGGGAGAACAGATGTAGCTTTTGGAGTCGAATGGGGTACTGGAGAACACGGAGCTCCAAAACAGCTTTCCGTTCACGTCTCTGAACCTTTTCAGCAGAGCGCCTTCAAAATTTGGAAGGGGATGGACAGCTGGCAGGCCATATTCTAAGACCGGACGGATGTACGAAATGGCGGAATGCCTAAAAATCTCAGGAGTCATTCGAGCGACGGATCTTCTTAAGGCGCCAACCAGTCTTTTTCCTTTGGCCACTTTCTTAAACGTGCCCTGCTTTGTCCTAACGTCAGAAACCATTTTAACCCCGAGATCTCTCTCGGGGTTGTTATTCCTGAGGAGAAACCCACAGATGTGATCTTCTTCTCTGATCAACACAATTTGGATCGATGGAGCGCTTGCGTTTCTCGTTGGCACTCACTGATTAACAGGTCAATTCAGCTCATTTCCAAACAAGAATGTGGACCCCCGCCCAACAAGCATCCGGTTTCGTGTGCCGGAAAGGAAACCGTAGACCATAGTGCTTCGACTTCCGAGTTATCTTTCTCACATCAGCAAGGGAAAGCATGCTGGATGCCCTTCAGTTATTCGAAATCTGC